CAATTTCGACCGGAGCTCGACTTATTTGGCGATTTTCAGATTTATGGGCATTGAACTTTGAGCATCGATTCCGATTACATAAGTTGATAAAATTGGGAGATGTTGGATGCTAATTGAAGAGGAAGATGAGTGGTTTCGACCGGTGCTCATTTCCGTCGGCTTAGGAGGTCAGACGGCGCCGGAATTTCGTTGCAAAATGGCCGGAAATATGGGAGAAAAATGGCTCTTGTCAAATTTGCGGTGTAGGTCCTCATTTTCAGTGTTAAACTCATTTGGTCCTTCAGTGACCATTCTTGAAACTCTGTGATACTTGAGTGACCGTTAGTTCAATTTTGTAACTTCAGTGACCGTTTTGACATTTTGGTGTAACTTGAGTGACCATTTGTGAAATTAACCCATTTGACAAAAGACCTATATCTTAAAATGAACTTTAAAAAGGACGGGGACCATGTTCCCAACTCCTACCCCTGTTCTGCTTTCGTTTCTGGGCCATGACCCCTACCCACTCCTTTGTACCAAATTAGGTGAGAAATCCCATTTGAGTGGGATCCGCGGATAGTGAATTTAACAGAGTTTTTGCCATTCCTACCCGATCACTTAACCAAATTACCTTTAGTCCAATAAAATATATAAAAAATAATAACAATAAACAAATAACTATGATACCCCAAAAACGTATCATTGGCATTCTCAAAAGGCGATTCTAGTGGTGACTTCATCGACTACAAATTGAAAGCTCCTATGTTAAGGATCAAGTAGATTTATCTTAGATCAATCTCAAACAAGTGCAAGAAGCTCCAATTCTAAGGCTACCATTTCTTATGTTGTTCTTGTGAAGAACTAATTCATCAATTTATCATTTCCGAAATTAACTATGCCGAATATAAGAAGACAAATTTGAATGTTCAAATCTTAACATGTAGCAATAAACATTATATCTTCATATTTAACTTTAAAGGATGTTCCATCGACTAAAATTAGGCATCGCATTGAAGATGTAAATTCTCAAATACATGGTCCAATAGCCATAAAAAGTATTTGTAGTGGTCATCGACATCTATCTCAGTATAGAATGTTGATCCAGGAGATCTTCCCTTGTTACCTAGCCAGTTTAACATAACTCTCCTAGGGTGAACCAATATTAAATCTTTCAATGTGCATTCTTTGATCTTTCAAGCTTTTTGATAGCTCATGACCATCTCGAATTCTCGATTGATGTAGTCAATAATATGTGCAGGTCTAAATATTATCATTGAATCTTGAAACTTGTGCATTTTATATCTTCCATTAACGCACGATCTAGCTTGTTTGTGATATTAAGATAAATACCCATTGAGCAAGTATGTTCACGTGCTTAACAGAACAATAAAGAAATTAGTTGTGTCAAACTACTGTCATCTACACAAACAATTGTGTAGGTTGTCCTTTTTTATTTCTTCATTTTGAATTTAAAGTTGTGTTTCAGTACAATTATGTGCACAACTTCTTGAAGATCTTTTTTTGTGTCATAATAGTTGGTTGATTTGTAAATTTTTATTATCGAGAATCACATGTGAAGTACGAGAAGATCGTGAACGAGGCCCAATTTACGAGTTCCCACCTAACTCATGTCTAAATTTGGATAAATCAATGAGATCTTGGTTTGTAAATGAAATTTTCTCCTCATTGTCTTGAATTATCTTAGGGTTTGTATATCCTGATATGTAGATCCATCTTCGAAATAACTATAGCACTCTTTTGAGCTATCTTTACCGTGTTCTAAAAATCATCAGATGATGGTCCACTTCATCACTTGCTTAATGTTCATTATCAGGGATATCCATCTTCACAAAAGTTACACAAAGAGAAGAATGATATTTTTGGTTGAGTTGAATCAGCCACCTCACTTGCAAGTTAGAACTAATCTTTATTGGTGGAATTGAGAAATGTGTATTGTCGGCAAAAAGAAATTTGAAACTCATCTTGTACTTAGACGGTTCAACGTTAAGAAAATTTTGTACATCATGATGCACGTTCACATATGGTGCATTAACCGATACATGATGTGAATCAACACCTTCTATATTAGTCCTAGTCCAATTTCATGTCGATCGATAATGTTCATTCCTTAGAAACTTAATAAAGTAACAATTTGCAAGTAATATTGAATCCATGTATGCATTTTAATACAAAATTCAAAAAAGCTAGCTAAGTGAACCAGAGAGTTGGTTAGTCAACTGAGGACCATCTATTAACCAATGTCTGGTAACATACCATCTATTAGCAACTTAGCATACAGTCTAGTAATCGAATGTTAATAGATAGTTAACAAGTTGTCTATTTAACAATGTACAAACCACGTTCTTTCTTATGAATTTGCTCAGAAAATAAAAAAATATGTCCAAGAAGTCGTGCACATCTATGTAAACACACTACAATAATCCAACATCGCATTTAACAATTATAAACGAAACTCAAACTAACGAATCCGAGCTAAGTAAACACAAGAAAGTGCAAATGTTCTTACTGATTCAAAATGATGAAATGTTCCCTGGAAAATGACTCTTCATTCAACATTTACCTCAGTCGATGCTCCTAACAAACCGCTTCTTGTTTGCATGTTACTACACATAAAATTGTTTGGACAAAATCTGCATTTTCTAGTTTCTCCATTCCATTCCATACATTTTCCATTTCTCCATCCCTTCTCCTCTCCTCTCCTCTGCAGCACCGCCATCCTCTCCCTCATGGGAGATCTTCGAGACTCAGAAACACATAATTTTTACTACATTCTTGGTGTTCCAAAGACTGCATCCCTCCCTGATATTTGCAGAAAATACAAAACTCTTATTGTCAAATGGCATGCTGACAAAAATCCCAAAAACAAAGCGGAAGCTGAAGCCAAGATCAGATCCATCAATGAGGCCTATAGGGTACGTCCCTAACTGGGATTTCATCCTTTCTATGCAAGATATTGACTTGCAATTGAATTTTGTTCTATTCACCGTAATGAATAATTGTATGCAAACTGTTTGGTTTTCTGTGTCAATGAATTAACTTTCAGGCGCTTAGCATTGTAAAGAAAAGACAAGCAAATTTATCAAATGGAGATGAGCCAAAAATACCAAACTATTACAAAACGGATGATGAATTCTACATTTCTAGCCCTACGCTTCTTTCACGTTCAAGCAGCCAACGCAGCCCATCCCCAAGTCCAAGAAATTTGTCCAGAAATTCAAGCTGAAGAAGCAGAACTCCAACACCAGCAGATTACTATGCCGATTTTCCAAGAACTCCAACCAGGGTTAGCGCTCCATCAACACCCTGTGCCACACTAACCCAAGAGATTCAATCCCCCTATCAAAAATAAGCAAAACTCGTATTATGTTTTCGAGGTCTGCAGCCTGGAAAAAACCACAGGCCATTGAAAAAAAACTAGAATGCACCCTTGACGAATTGTTGCATGGATGTGTCAAAAAGATCAAGATCACAAGAGATGTCATCTTAAATCCAGCGTACACGAGTTTTTTCTTGAATCACCTCATTTAAAGTTTAAGAAGATGAGATAAACTTATTTATTTAAGTTATGTAGTTTAACATGCATCCTCAGGTATAGGATAAATTTGTTTGTTTCTTTGTTTTTCTTTTTCAAAAGGCTTGACACGTCTATAGTTTTATAAATTGGTGACAACGAGTCCTAAACTAAGGACTTATACCTGCCATAATATCATGCTGAACCATCTTGTCTAAAAGCTAAACTCGGGTATAGGATATATTTGTTTGTTTGTTTGTTTTTCTTTTTCAAAAGGCTTAACATGTCTATAGTTTTATAAATTGGTGACAATGAGTCCTAAACTAAGGACTTATACCTGCCATAATATCACGTTGAACCATCTTGTCTAAAAGCTAAAGCTTTTAGATCAAGAGGTTCAACTCTTCTTACCCCCACCCCCTTGATGAAATTTTATTTTTGCTTGAACGATCAATGTGTGTAGGTATAGCTATTATGAAAATTGTTTTATTTCCCCTGTGTATGATTAAGTAAATTCCCAACAAGCACTCCATCAACAACTAGTGCCACACTAACCCAAGAGATTCAATCCCCCTATCAAAAATAAGCAAAACTCGTATTATGTTTTCGAGTTCTGCATCCTGAAAAAACCAGGCCATTGAAAAAAAAAACTAGAATGCACCCTTGACGAATTGCTGCATGGATGTGTCAAAAAGATCAAGATCACAAGAGATGTCATCTTAAATCCAGCGTACACGAGTTTTTTCTTGAATCACCTCATTTAAAAGTTTAAGAAGATGAGATAAACTTATTTATTTAAGTTATGCAGTTTAACATGCATCCTCAGGTATAGGATAGCTTTGTTTGTTTCTTTGTTTTTCTTTTTCAAAAGGCTTGACACGTCTATAGTTTTATAAATTGGTGACAACGAGTCCTAAACTAAGGACTTATACCTGCCATAATATCACGCTGAACCATCTTGTCTAAAAACTAAACTCGGGTATAGGATAGATTTGTTTGTTTCTTTGTTTTTCTTTTTCAAAAGGCTTGACATGTCTATAGTTTTATAAATTGGTGACAATGAGTACTAAACTAAGGACTTATACCTGCCATAATATCATGCTGAACCATCTTGTTTAAAAGCTAAAGCTTTTAGATCAAGAGGTTCAACTCTTCTTACCCCCACCCCCTTGATGAAATTTTATTTTTGCTTGAATGATCAATGTGTGTAGGTATAGCTATTTATTTTGCACATCTCATTCTGAACCATTTTTTTTTTCCCTCCAAAAGGCTTGAAATGTATACAATTTTATAAATCAGCGATGACGAGTCCTAAACTCAGGACTTGTACTTGTTGTAATACCGCGTTGACAACCTTGTCTAAAAGCTAAAGCTTTTGGAAAATCATATGGTTCAACGTTTCTTTCCACCAACCTCTACGAAATTTGATTTTTCCCTAGGGTCAATGCGTCTGTGGGTCTAAATACTTATTTTGCATGCCTCATTTAAAATCTTAGGCTGTCTGAGATAAGGCATACTTATTTGTGTAAATTATGTATTCAACAATGCCCCAAAGCCACTTACACATGGGTTAAATTCATTTTTCATAAAAGCTTGACGTGTACTATGTTATTTTAGGTGAGATGGTTCAACATTTCTCCCCCCTCTTAAGAAATTTGATTTTTCCCTCTAAGATCAATGTGTGAGTACAGCTACTTATTTTGCCCGATCATCTCTCATGGCAGATTTATCATCAAAGAGGAAGAGACACTAATAATCAAGGTGAAGGCAGGATGTAGAAAAGGAACAAAGTTAACATTTGAAGGAAAGGGAGATGAGAAACCAGGCACCCTTCCAGCAGACATAATCTTCGCCATTGTTGAAAAAAAGCATCCAATTTTTAAACGAAGAGGAGATGATTTGGAGATAGGAGTTGAACTGCCTCTGGTTCAATCCCTAACAGGTTGTACATTTACAGTCCCTCTATTAGGAGGAGGCCAAACGACACTTTCAATGGATGAAATTATATATCCTGGATATGAGAAAATTATCCCTGGACAAGGTATGCCTAAATTCACAGATGAAGCTAAGAGAGGACATCTTCGACTCAAATTTCTCGTCAAATTTCCAACAGAATTGAGCAATGAACAACGCTCCGATCTAGTTAATATTTTACAAGAATGTTCTTGATTGATCATGCATTAGTTGTTATTTGTCTCTTTTAAATTTCATGTTCCTGTATTTTAGTTTTAATTAGGCACGTAGATAAGGTATACTGATATAGTGATATGTACATATGCATCCCAGAATGCTTGATGCTAGGAGCAAAAATTGCCCCTTACTGGAGATGACTGGATTTTTTTTTTTACTCGTTTCAGTAATCAAACACTGAAGAAACATTTTTAGATGAGCATAATGGACTATTGTGAATTTCTCATTATAGTTTCTGATTAAAATAAGAAAGACGAACTGAAGTTTGAGGGACATATAAATGGTGAAGTTAGAGGTGTAAATTAAAGCTTTAATTAATGGTTTGATTCTCCCTCCCCCTAGTCATGTTACTGAATCACATAAATTCATGTTTTCTCTACTCTATTTGCTTTTATTTTTCGCTGCGTTCATTAGTGGGTGGTGGTGTTCATTTGTCACTTGGTGTGCTTGTCAATAGTGGGACTGACTGGATCCACCTTTGAAATTGTTCTTCTCTTTCTTTTTCTTCATTATGTTTATCGATGGTGGTAGGGTCGGCCAATTGAACTCTGATGGTCAGGTTAGACTAAGAATTTGGAATAAATATTGACGGGCTGAGTGAATTGTGTGAAAGATTATATATATACACACACACACACACACACACATATATATTTTTGTATGTTCGTTTTTAGGAAATGGCCTTTGGGTATATCTATAGGTTGTCAAACTAGTAGAACTGTCACGTTGTTCCAGCCTCAACTCATTGATGTAAATCTTGTTTGTGTGTCAAGTTGGAGAGCTTTCTGGCTAGATTAGCACTACCTCTAGTTGCTTTGCCTTCGTCTCTTCTACTTGGCCTCTTCTGGTTAAATTTCAACCAACCCAATTCATGCATTCTTGACCTAAAATCTTAGGTGGAACTAAGATCTTTGTCTTCTGGTGATGACCTCTTGATTTGGCTTTTGATTCATCTGCTCTTAATTTGGCTTCTAACTTGCACCGTGATAACATTTTCAAGGTAGCCTTACTGTCTTACTGATGCTGCTGTAACAACCTAAATTTTACCTTTGAAATCATTATACATGTACTGTAAAAGAGTATTTTTATAATCAAAAGAAAAAAAGGATAATGTTTTATTAATATGCGAAGATTTAATATTAGTTTTAAGAGAAATACAATGAACATTATTAAAATCTTTAACTACATAATTTATTCTTTATTTTTCACCCCACGCAAGCACAATCCACCTCCGATCGCCTCGAACCCACCTTTTTTAGTTACTTATAAAAGGTTTAACATATACGTGTGAGACATAAATCTCAGTAAATGAATAATAACGAATATCATCTCATATATTAAATACGAAAAATCATAAAATACATTTGGAGATAGGGGGAATTGAAATC